ACTAAGAAAATAACTCTAAGCATGTAGAAAGCTGCAAAGGACTTCTAGGTGCCTTCCAAAGAGAGTGGCGAAAATTCAGAAGATTCAGCAGGTAGTGAATATTTCAGGCAGAAACTAGCATGTGCAAAGGCCTGACCTCAGTAAGTTCCTGGAATTGAGAGGGGTCCTGAGAAGCCAGAGCAGAGAAACAAAGGAGAAAGGAGCAGGATGAAGGAACTAGAGCCAGTGAGTTGAGAGCTTATCCCAAGGCACTGGAAGTATTAGGTAAAGGAAGGAGGTGTAATCAGGTTTTTATTTTAGAAAGATTGCTGTTATGTGAAGAATAGGCTAAAAGGACAAGCATGGATGCAGAGAGATCAATTAGGAGACTGGCATCCTGGAATAGGGTGAAAGTAGAGATGAGACAAAAAGAGGTAATTGTTGAGAAGGTTTAAGAAGTGCAACTGACAGGACCTGTTCTGTAATATCTTTCAATAAAGCTTTGTTGTTTTCTACATTAAAAAAAAAAAAGGATTTGGGCAGTGGTGTTGAATCAGCACTGGAAATCGAGATGTCATACACAGAAAGCTGCTTTGGGAAGAAGGACTGACCAGCCCCAAACTCCAAATTCTACCACCTACTCTATAACTCAACTACCTACTGCATCGCTCAACCTGCAGGCACCTTAAACATTACCTGTGCAACACTTTCCCAAAGCCCCTGTGTCTTTGGGGTGGCAGAAGCCAGCTGCCAAAAAATCTAGGAGTCACCCTGGACTTTCCCCTCTCCATCATGCCCAACATCCAACCTAGTCAGCTAGTCCTCTTGAACCTGTCCCCTATGATCCCATCTTCCAGCCACACGCACACCATGCAACATGTGGTATCAATACAGATACACTTGTCAATCACACAGGCTGACTAGGCACTGCACATTTCATACCCGTAAACTCCCCTCCAGCTGGCCCTGACCAGCCATGTCTCTAGTCCTTCACTGATTGTGATTTCAGAGTCCAACCTTGGTTCTCAGGATTCCTTCCTGTCCTGGTCTCTTGGTTGGCTAAGTGGCTTTACCTATGGCCCCTCTGCTCCAACCTCTGCAAGACCCTTTGGCTGGCATTAGATATCAACTTACCCTGGTATAGAAGTTCAGATTTTACACGTCTCAAATATCTCTAGTGAACTGCCTCCATCTTCATGGCCTCTGCCTTGGTCATGCCTTCTTCCTTTTCATCTGGATTTCAACTGGCTACCCTACATAATCTTGTCCCCTCCAATCTGTCCTCCCTGCTGTCCACTAGAATGACTTTTATAATGCAAATCTAACCAGATCAAACTCCTGATTAGAGTTCTACATTGGCCTGCCAGGTCCCACCTAATTATCACTTCTCAGAAAATCACATTGAAATGGCAGTAGAGAAACACAAAAGCAAATGAATTCACAACCATCCTAAAAATGGGAGTGGAGGGTGACATCAGCAAATTGAAGATTTTGATGAGTTTCTAGAAACTAGAAGGCAGATAGGATCTTCAGGATGGGGCATGAAGCCCTAAATCAAACAGGGATGGCCAGGAAGAAAGGCTCCAGTCTAGCAGACAGCAGGTTCTAGAATGAGATTTAGAAGAGGAACAGAAATCAAGGGGAAGACTACCTGTGCACTAGCTTTGTGGGCTCCCTCATCCATATAGCCATTGTCCTCCCATCTACCATGGAGCTAGGCATTTATTCCCACCTCCCACCCTCTCCTAAAGCTGAAGCTTGAGACCTAGTGATGGAGGATGGGGTGGGAGAAAGAGTTTTGATTATATACGCTCTGTGCTACATGAAGGAATCTGAACCATGTGAATCCAAAAACTGTTTTTCAAAAATTTGTAAATTTTTAGCCTTAAATCAAAACTAAAATAGGGCACCCACTGCAAAACCCCGTTGTAATGGTCTCTACACCTATCTCGATATCCTCCCTTGAATAATGTTCGCCTTACAGTTAATAAAAAAAAAGTAAAAATAGGAATGCTAAATTAAAAAAAAATAGAAGAACTAGGGGGGAAAAGTCAAGGAACTTTTCCAGAAGAGAATGAAAATTTGTATATAAAAGAACATTTAAAAGACAAGATCAATCAAGGAGGGGAAGTATCCACCAATCTATTAAGAATCCCAGAAGGAAAGAAGAGAAAATGGAGATAAGGAAATAACCAACAAAATACATATTTTTTAAATTTTAGAACTGAAGACAGACTTAAGTCTTTAGATTGGAGAAGTTCACCTAGAAGTGCCATCCCCAATGAAGGAAAAAGCTGAAAGTCAATATGTAAACTCAACCTCATGAATTTTCAGAACACCAAGCAAAAGCAAATGATCCCAAAGGCTTCCAGAGAAGAAATGCAACTTACAGATAAGACTATTATATGCATCTGACTTCTTGAGCAACACTGAGTATTAAAGCAGTGCCTTTAAACTTCTGAATCATATCCAGTCAAATTACCAATCACATGTGAGAAATAAAAACATTTTTGGCATATACAAACCAAGAAAGTTTATCTCCCATGTCCTGAAAAGGATGTATATACAAACAAACAAATATGTATCCCAGAAAGAGGAAAGGAAACATGGAACGCAAGAAATAGTAGAACAACTCCAAGAGTATGATGAAGTCACAACTGACAGTTGTTCAGCACACTTAAAAGGCACATTAGGACAGTCAGCAGTGAGGATGATGAAGAAGCTGGATCATCATAAGGATGTGGGAAGCCATGTTCTTCCTTTAATTTCCTTTTAATTTCCTAATGAGAAAATCACGATCCAAATATATGAAGCAGACTAAAACGTGGTGTAATTTTGAGCAGTAGATAGCACCTAAAAATAGAATTCACCTGACCTGGTCATTAGAACTGGCTTCTTGAGAAACATATGTTTAGTGACAGGAGTGCATTTTCTACTCCAATCATACTACTGGGTTCTGAGGTGAATAAGGAATACACAAGTAAAACTTTATAAATGCCCTTAATCCGTTTGCAATTTTCAGATACTCTCTACAAAGTTCAGGAAACTGTCTTATAGTTATAGAATAAAATGTAAATAGTATTAACCTTGATGGTATAAAAGTAATGGTATAATATAAATGTATTCATTTCATAATTTGTGTAGGAAAAAAACACAAGAAACGGTGGTTGCCTTCAATAGGCAAATTAGGAATCCAGAGATCAGAGCTCGGTGACTACTTTCACAGTTTACCCTTCTATATGATTTCAATTTCTTTACAACAGCATGAATTACCTTTTTGAAAGTAAAACTTCTATTGGGTAGGCAGTGTACTAAAAGTAATGATACAGTTGATAGCAGAAGGCAGAGATGTGGAAGGGACGGTGATAATATACTTTTCCTCAGTTTTCATGACAGTTAACAAATACTGCCTACAATTCATGGAATTAGAAGTAGAGGCTGAAATATGATCCACAGGAAAAAAATAAAAATACTACATAACAAAAATTGGCAAGAGCAGGGCTGGGATGAGGGATTGCATGAGCTGCAATCTCCCTGTTACATGGTGGAGTCAACAAATTCTGTTTAAAGATGACAGCACAAGTCCAGGTGTTGCCACAGAGAGTGGAGTGACCCTCAGAAGAAATACCATCAGAAGCAGTCTGGGGGTGCTGCCCTGCAAAGAAGTAGTGAGGGGCAACAGAGGAGAGACTTCCACTTTTCCTTTTATACCCTTCTGCACTTTCGAATATTTACTTCTATGCACACTGGTTGACTTCTAAGTCAAAACAAAAACAAAACAACCTCTTTCATGGACTTACCAGTGCTTTGAGGACTACACCCAAACTCCTTAGCAAGCGTCCAGGCCCTCCTTGATCTGCCTGCTCTTAGACCCCCAGCCCACACCCAAGGCTGTAAAGCCAAAACTGTAGCTTTCCCACTCTGCTCCTGCAAACATGCTCCACCTCAGTTCAGAATGCTCTTTCCTCCCACTTATCCCATACACAAACTACAAGCATCAACTCTCTAGAAAAAGCACTCCCTCCCCCTCAGCCTAGTCTGAGTTAGAAGGCCATTCTGGAGCCTGTGACATTCTGTTCTCAACTTTAGTTCTGTCAAAGAAGGTACATTTGCTATTTGCCATTAAGATCCTGCCACCAATGGCAGTGTCTCTAGGCTGTTAGCTTCAAGGGATCAAGAGCACAACCTGTTAATCCCCTGAGGGAAGAATAACCATGTCTAAAGCCCAATGCCAAAGGTCAGTAATGAAGCTTAAGCATTAGGAAAATGCTTGGCCTCAGTTCCCCCATCCGAAGAAAGGAGGCAGGAAGATATCCTCCACAGGTCCCAGTTACATTCTATGACATATCATGCACACCGGCCATGGTATAGCTTTCTTCTTCCTCACTTCGCTATAAATTACTGTATACCTATAGTCTTCTTTGTCCTTTGTAATTTTTAAAGGGTCCCAATCACAATTTGCTAGTGTCCTCACTCATCTGCTCCTAGAAAAGACCACTCATTAGTGGGTGTTTTTGGATGACCACAGTGCTTAGAGCCTTTCCCTTCAGCTATTTACAAGCTGGCTAAGGGCTCTTGGGAAGACAGGATTACCCAGTACTGGCTTCTATGTGGCCCTGGGCTAATCTCTGAGCCTTGGTTTCTTCATCTGGGAAGCAATAGGGAAGGTCGCAGTATCTGCCCCTGGAAGGTTGTTGTAAAGGTTAAACAAGATGAGGCATGTAAGTTTCCTGGCACACAGAAAAGGCTTCAAAAGTATGGCTGCTGTTCACAGTATTAAAAATTCTAATGTCCGGAGTAGCTGAGAACATAATTCCTCATATCTGTCCCTGCGACTGTGATTACAAGCCGACAGGTCAAAACAGTGAGATACAGAGCCTGGGTCCCACAGAATAACTGGTTCTGCCACTGTCAGTCCAGGAGGGCCCCATGAGGCAGGAAACCCTGGGCACACCATTACAGGGAAGGGAGCGCAGATTATCCATCACGTGGAAAATGTTAACTTTTGTCCCTTTACACAGGCTCATTCTTCAGATGATCAAAGACAACTACCTGTGCTTTTCATTTCTGTGGAAACACTGCTGAGGCCAGGCTTGCCACCCTTCCAGGCACGCAGAGCAGTACATACTGTGGCCTGATCTGCAGAGGAGCTCCTAGTCACTGGGAAATCTCACTGCCTTCTGTGATCAACTCCAGGCCAAAGTCCCCAGGCAAGCCAGGGTGACTGGTAGCCCCTCTACCACCCTTCAGGAGGAGCCCTGTGTTCCCATTCACAACCCTGAGTGCTCACAAACTCTGCCTTCATCTCCCCTGCCCTGCAACTCTCAGGTGCTCCTGCATGACCGTCCAGCTGGTTGGACTCTACCCTCAACCAGGGAACAGGACTCTAGGAACCCTTCAGATTGGACTATCCTGGTTCCCACCTGGTTCTAAGACAGCTCTTGAGGGCCTCACTGACCAGACTAGACCAGAACAGACCAGACCTCAGCCTCTGCCTAGGCATGTGTGTACCCAGTGGAGAACTAAACTGCCCAGGAACAAATTCCTGGGCTGGAGGTTCCCGTTAGCATTTATGGACATGGGCTCAGCCACAGCCAATTGCAGCACCTGCAGCTGGTTTAGTCATTGCTCCAGGCTGGGAGGTGAAGTTGAGATGAGTGTATGCTAACAGTGGAGGGTAAATAACAGAGCAACACCCAAGTCCCTCCTTCTGAGAGGGTCAGGTGACTTTTTCTCCAGTCCTCAGAGCAATGTCCATTATGTAGGTAACAGGATGGCCCCAGGACGGTGCATGAGAGCCAGAAGCCAGGACTCGTGGGCCTTTCCCAAAGCATCTGCAGCACTGTCCTTGGATCAGCTCTCGCATATAGCACCTGCTGGCTTTCTGAGTGTCTCTCTGCCCCGTTTCTCCTCAAGCCTGTGAGAGATCCTTTCAGAAGACGGTGTCCCTATTTCCCCTCTTTTCTTCACCAAAATTTACTGGACCATCTTTTTTCTGACATTTCAGGAGAAAGCTCTGCCGATTACTGGGATCTGCCATCCCTCCCCAAGTCTTTTTTTGGATAGTCCCCCCACATTGTCCCAGCTTCCCCACAATAACACACACTCTTCACCTAGTCACTCATGTATTGATCCAAAATGAGGATCCCTACCCATGCCTGACATCATGCCATTGGGTCCTAGACTCTAAGACCAAGCCCCTCCCCTCATAGTGTTCATGCTCTGGTGGAGAGAGACCATAACATAGTAAAGACATGATTTAATGATAGAGTCAGTGGTAAAATAAATGTGGAGACTGAGAGAAGCCTCTTCGCTGAGAGAAGTGGGGAAAGGCAGTACAAAGACTGTGGTTGGGGAAAGAACGTAAACCAGCATGGCTGTTCTTTGGTGAGTAAGATAGGGAGGGGTATAAGCTGGGGTAGACAGAAGCTGGATCATGCAGGGCCTTGAGACCAGGGCGGGACATTCATATTTTACTCTAAGTGCCACTGCACAACTTTAAGCAGGGGAATGGTATGATCTGAGTTTCCAATACTCTCAGGTAGCTGTGTGGAGAATGGTTATGAGGGAGTAGGAGGAGATGAGGTGCGGGGCCCATGGTGGGAGCTGTCGAGAGCTGCTAAGAGGACATGAGCAATGACATCCAAGAAGTGACCATTAGATTTGACAAAAAAGGGGGCATGCAAGAGTGACCTGATAGGAGCTATTCAGTGACACTATGGTGACAACGGAAGTGGAGGCAGTGAAACTAGATGACTTGTTGGAAAAATTTACTGTGGAGAAAAAGGATGAACCAGTAAGTGGACAGAGTATGCAGTTGATGGAGAGTTGATATAAGCATATCCATATATTAATGGTGGTTTCCTGGGGCTACTGTAACAAAGTGTCACAAACTTGGTGGTTTAAAATATTTATACTCTCATAGTTCTGGAAGCCAGAAGCTGGAAATCAAGGTGTCGGCAGGGCCATGCTCCCTCCAGAAGCTCTAGGGGAGAATCCATTCCATGCTTTTTCCAGCCTCTGGTGGCTGCCCCAGCATTCCTTGGCTGTGGCCACATCACTCCAGTCTCTCCATCTCTGCACAGCCTCCTCCTTTCTCTTTGCATGTTTATTTTATAAGGATATGATTGTATTTAGGGGCTACCATTTAATCCAGGATAAGCTCTTCTTCTCAAGATCCATATAAGGAAATAGTCATTCCTTTCCCATAAGGTAATATTCAAACATTCTGGCAATTAGAACATGGATATCTTTGCGGGGAGGTGGGGGTTTGGGGAGGGGATACCATTCAACCCATTACAACGGGAACGATCTAGAAGAGAAAGATAACACTGATATGGAAGAAGGGAGAACCCCAGGAGAGGAGTCTTTGGAAAAGTTGGAGGGACAGGACCCACAGCTGAAAATTTTCCTTCCTAGCTTTATTTCAAAACAACATTAAAGGTGAATTTGATCATATGGGAATTGTAGCTCAATAAAAAATAAAAAAATAAAAAAGGAAAGAAAAAAGACTTATGAAAAGACACTCAGAATTCCTTACCAACTCCCACCCTACAGTATAATCAGCTAAAAGGAGCTAAATGGAGGCCACATTTTTTTCCCAAGGCACCAAGTCTTGCTAAGAAGTCTTAAAAATCTATTCACAGACCAGATATGCGAGGCACCAAGAAAAAGCAGCAAAGGGAGCAGGGAGAGTGACAGAATCAGGGTCCATGGACAGATCAGACAAACACGCCCTTTCCATTATGTTGACAGATCTGGCCAACAAAGCACTCCCTGGAAAACACCCTCCTCAGCCCACTGGGAAAACAGCTGGCCTCAGCCTACTGGAGACTCAACACACAGTGCAGGGAAACAGAGTCAAGGAGCAGGGAAGGGAAGGCCCTTAGATAAATTACACAGTTGCCCACTCTATCCCAACTTAGCTGGGGCTGTGGCATGAAGTGGACCAGGCCTAGATTAGGGAGGAGAAAGTGTTCCTGCTATAAACAACCTGAGGGTAAAGTGAGAGCTAGGGAGCAGCCTGGGCAGACACATTCCCCGGACCACTGACACACATACACCCAGCTCCGACAGGAGTCTAGTACCTGGCTCTGCTGTATGCATCGCCACCCCCAATCCTGCCCATTCCCAGTGGCACCAGTGACTGGACCCTCTGCCAGAAACATCAGGAATTATGTGAACTTGAACTGGAGGAAGCAGACCTGTTTGTAGATACCCCTCACTCTGAAGGCCAAGGGCAGTGCCTGTGAGTGGACATTCTTCCTTTTCAAGTCTGGCCAAAGTTGTCATTTTTGTGCCTAGCATCATCTTGAGGCTTCCCTTTCCTCCTGCACTGTAATCTTCCCCATGTTAGTAAACGGCCTTGGCAACTGGGTGGCAGATGGGGGCTGTGGCCTTGAGCTGTGCTCACAGCTGACCACATAGGCCTGGCACTCAGCCTTGAGGTACAAATACCTTCTAAGTCTACCACACCAGTGAACCTAGGTGGAACCTATGGCATGTCCAAGGACTGCTTTTGCCCTCATTCCCTGGACCTCACCTTCATTCTTGTTTGCCTTTATAGGGGAGACACATCCTCCCAAACAGGGCACTTCTCACTTTTCTCCCACCTGGAGTTCCATAACTCCAAGGAGGGCCTTGGAGCCAAAGTCAGAGCTGGCTCCCAGCCCATGTCAATGAAGTGAAGGGGAGCCTCCAGTTTTCCTGACTCCAGGAATGTTCTCAAACTTTAGTGGGACCAGAAGTCCCCAGTTAAAGATACTGATACTGGAATCACACACACACTCCATCCTAGAGATTCTAATTCCATAGAGCGGAGTGGGGCGGGGAATGGGGTGTGGGTGGGGGGCTGTAATCTTTATTTTAGCCTGCTTATAGGCACCAGCCCCCAGGAGGGCTCAGGAGCCCTGAGAACCTGTACACCTCTCCAACTCACGAGAGTAGGGGTGAGTGCTAGGGATAGGTCAAATGCTCATATCTTCCTGGGACAGGAAGTTGGGGCCGCTTTCATATACCTCTTCCAGACCTCTAAACTCATGTGGGCAGGCCAGGAAGGCAGGGATGGGACAAGCTTCGTGATGACTCCACTAAGCATTCTTCCCTCCCTACCCCTACACTCATCTCCTGCCTTAGCAAAGGCAAAGGAGAAGTTAGGGGCCTGTAATTCATGTTTCTTTCCTCTTAACACAACCACACCCATTTTTTTTTTCAAGACTCCACCCAGCAACAAACCAGGGCAAAAACTAACAATTTTAAACTTTTATGGGACTTCCTACTCCATGAGGCACAAGAGATTCTTCCAGTAACTCCTATTGAGCTGGGGTCTCCTTGGACCTCTGCCAGCAGCAAGCCCATGGGGCTTCCGTTATATGGGCAACTCAAGGGTGGGGGCTTGTGAGTACCTGTTGGATGCAAACAGTCCAAAAGCCCACCAAGTAATGAACATGAGGACCAGTAGGCAGGAAAGAGATCTCGAGAGAGAAGAGTGTGCCATGTCGCCCTAAACCTCGGAAATCTCTGGGCTCTGGCACACCTGATAGGATGCATGAAGCCTCCTGGTCCAATGCCAAGGGCAGCAGCACATGGAAAAGGCCCAGACATGCAGATCAGGCTCACAGCCCAGTCAAGCAGGAGGTTCCTATTCAGATGGGGACCCAGGACACAACCCACAGGGAACAGGCTTAACATGTCTGCCTGCTACAAAGGCTTCTGGGAGCATTGTCATGGTCAATTCCCTCAAACACGTTTCTCTTAGAACCACCAATTTATTGCAGGCAAGATCCACTTCTAGAAATGGCAGGCAATACTCTTTCTGCCCACTGATGCCACACATAGCCCTGTAAGTCAGCCTGATGGCACAGTGGGAATATGGTGCCAGCTCTGAGTTCAAGGCCTGGCTCCAACACTCATTCCAGATGCACCTGAGCTTCCATCCCTTCATCTATAAGATGCAATTAGCAGTACCCTCTGGAATTACTGCAAGGATTAAAGGATGTAAGTTTAATATAAATTGCTTCACTGAGTTGGCACTCAGTAAAATAATTCTTTCCTTTCCCTCCTACTCCTGTGACTCAGTTTCCTGTCTCAGCCCCAAACCCAAAACGATCCAAGTTCACCTAACTCGGAAATGCCAAAGGAGCCAGCCACCAAAGCAGAGCATACTTTCAATAAGCCTTAAGGTTCCCTGACACTCCTGCTCTCAAGAGCTTAACTCCGAATTCTTTGGTCATCTACAATTGGGGCTCCAATCCTGTTGCTGGCGGCTGCATACCCTGAATCCTTACATTTTCCCAGTGCTGGAGAGAGGACCAGTAAGTTCTCCAGTTTTCTGAAATCCTGGTGGTACTCTCCCAGCCTGCTGGGACAAGGACAGCAGGGATATTCAAGGTTACACAATGGCATGAGGTGCTAAAGCTCTTGGTGAAAGGAGAAGGCATTTTACCACTTTTTAAGACTATATAGAGGTGATCTGAGTTAACATTAAGCATGCAGGGACACGTGTCCGTAGCATTTCCCCAAGTTAACTGGCCCTTCCCCGCCCAAGGTGGCCTGGCCCTCATTTTGTGCCAGGTACATTCTGAAGTTGGGTCGTGAGTAGCGTCCATTCTGACAGCGCTAAGTCCCAGCGTCCGAAGTTGCCCTGGAACCTTCCCTTGAACCTCCCGGGGCCGCCAGACCCCCAGCACTCACAGGGCCGTGTCTGGCCGCTGCTCCTGCCCCGGGTCGGCCGCGGGTGCGGAGTGGAAGCAAACAGCCGCAAAGGAGGAGATGGGATCAGCAAACCTCTCGCTCCCAGGCCTACACCCGCCTGCGGGGGTGGCGCTTTCCCCGGAGTTTCCACAGCAGGCTGGGATCCCATGGTCTACACTCCCCGGAATCCCTAGAGTTGTCTGTCCTTACGCAGATCCCCTTAAAAAACGCACGCTTCCGGGGGAGCAGAGGCCTCCAGGGCCCGGCCAAAGGCACCAAGAAGTTCTGGGCAGCCCGGGCGCACGCATCTCTGGGGATGGCCGGCGTCTTCCAGGCTGGGACCGGAGCTCAGAGCGCCCCGAGTGCCTCAGCCTGGCCCGTTCCCAAGGGCAGGAACCTGCCCCCGGAGCGGGCGGTCCTTGGCGGTGCTTCAACGGGGCTCGGGGCCGCCGCGCGCCTCACCTGAGCGGGACGCGGATGGCCAAGTACCTGTCGACCGCCACCGCCAAGAGGCTGAAGATGGAGCTCTGCGTGAGCACGAGCACGAAGCAGGCAAGGAAGAGGCAACTGTGGAAGTCAGTGCAGAAGCCCAGGCTGATGGTGATGGCGAAGGGAATGGCAAACAGCCCCACGGCCACGTCGGCCGCCGCGAGGGACACCAGAAAGTAGTTGGTGGGCGTCTGCAGTGCGCTCGACGTGCCCACCGCAGCGCACACCAGCACATTGCCCGCCACCGAAAGCGCTGCGATGGCCAGCTCCAGCGCCACGTACAGCGCGTCCTGCGCCTCCAGCGGCATGGCCGGTGATGTCGCCTACCCCGGCCGCGTCGAGCGCGGGGCAGCCGCGTGGGCCCCGCCGGGCATGGCTGGAGCGGCCGAACCGCGCGTCCGCCAGCGGCGTCTGACCCGCCAGGCTCCCGCGCTCAGGGCCGGGACCCAGGGGGCGGGACAACGGAGGGGTGGCAACGCCCATTGGCCGGCGTGCCCGCCCTTCTCGCACTCCCCGCGGAGCACCGCCCTTTCCCCCTAGTCGAGGTCCGCACCCGCGCAGGGCCACCCTGGTCTCCGGAGCGCGGGAGAGAGCGTGGGCGTTGGGCCCCGAGGCGTCTCATGGTAACGATATCTGACAAAGTCAAGTTCCCCAACTTCCTAATGCTCCAACTCCGTGGGTGTTTCCCGAGCTGTCGCACTGTCTTCTAACTAGGGCGGCGCGGCGCGGCGCGCCCAGAGCCGGGGCGGCTCCGGGGTTTGAGACCCGACTCTACCCTGGGCGTTCGCCAGTCTCCGTGAGCCCACGCGAGAGGACACCCCCTCAAGCCATTCCACTGCCGGGCAGGGCGAGTCGAAGACCTGAAGGCTTTCGCGGCTCCCCTACTAGAACCCTGCGGACCCTGGAGGACAGGCGGGACTCGCCTTGCTAACTGGACGAGATGCATCAGGGAGGGGAGAGAGGAGCCTGAACACGCAGGCCGCCTCGCGCCACACACTCCCACTGGACCTGTCCCTTCCAGCTGCGGCACCCTAGGGCCAAGATGGTTCTGCGATGCTGCAGCGCTGCGCCACCCTACCCCTGCAATCGCGTGCCAGTCTCCCCAGCCTTCCCTCTTCCCTGCCCTTCTGCCACTGTCCAGGAGGCTTCTGCTCTACTTTCTCCTACCTGGCTACATGCTACACATCCTTCATGCTTCGCCCACCCGCTGTAAAGTGCCAGTGTTCTTCAGGCTCTCTCTTTAATCTTCATGCCCACCCTGTATAAGCTCAGACTCCCAAGGCTTCACACGTGGCCCTTACACCTTTAACTCCCAAACTTTTCCTCTGTAGCCTGCCTCCTGAGTGCCAGACCTGAGCACCCCATTGCCGACTGTTGGACTCCGCCAGGAAAGCCTAAGGCCCCCAAATCCAGCGAATCTAAAATCAAGCTCATCAACTCTCCTCAGAACCTGTGTCCTTTCCTCCAGAGACTCAGTTATTGACCTTACCACTCACCCCACGAAAGGTGCTGCAGCCTTCCCTCTTCCCTGCCCTTCTGCCACTGTCCAGGAGGCTTCTGCTCTACTTTCTCCTACCTGGCTACATGCTACACATCCTTCATGCTTCGCCCACCCGCTGTAAAGTGCCAGTGTTCTTCAGGCTCTCTCTTTAATCTTCATGCCCACCCTGTATAAGCTCAGACTCCCAAGGCTTCACACGTGGCCCTTACACCTTTAACTCCCAAACTTTTCCTCTGTAGCCTGCCTCCTGAGTGCCAGACCTGAGCACCCCATTGCCGACTGTTGGACTCCGCCAGGAAAGCCTAAGGCCCCCAAATCCAGCGAATCTAAAATCAAGCTCATCAACTCTCCTCAGAACCTGTGTCCTTTCCTCCAGAGACTCAGTTATTGACCTTACCACTCACCCCACGAAAGGTGCTGATACTTTTCCCGACATCCTTCCCGACATCCCTGTCTGGAGTGCTACTGAGATTCTGCTTCCAGAGCTTTGCTTCTTTCCACCCTAAAGTTAAGACCTAGATCGGATCCCTCCTTGAAGCCTGCTCCCATCACTCCCTCATATCTCAGTGGGTCTCCCTAGTCCTCACCCATACCATCATTCTAGAACACACCTGGCTGTGCTATTCCCCCACCCAAAATCTTTTGCTAGCAGTCACCAGACAAGGTAGTTAAGATCTTCAGGCTACATGAAGTTATTAAAGGGGATATTTTTCTCTCTCCACTTTCCATGTGGTTTTGTTACTTCTATAATAACAAAATCCGATTTTATGTTATAAAATTGGAAAACTCACAAATTCCATGCTAGCTGAGTTCCAATATCACTTTCTCCATCACCCAAATTTCCCATAGCACTCGTTACCATGTATGTGATAAACTAGAACCTCAGGAAGATCACAGAATTTGTCCAAACACTTCTTTGGGGTAGGAAAAGGTCAAAAGAGTTACAGCAGGCTTTCTGGGGAGGTACTTTTTGCAGAGTGGGCAAGACTTGGCAGTGGAGAACTATTTGGTAGGGAACCATGCGGGGTGGAGGTGGGGCAAGGGTCTTGCTCAGGGACAGCCATGCCCAGGAGAGTAGAGAAAGGAAGATGGCCTGACCAGGGAGGACTTCAACCTTCAGGATGGAGTGTTGGGTTGTCTGCTGGAAGTGCTGGGCATCAGCCCAGGGAGGTCGCTGAGCAGGGCCATGATGGATCAGAGCATTATCTGGCAGTGTGGCTGGAGAGCTGGCAGAGGGAGAAGAGGCAGTGGGATGGAAGCCAGCTGGTTGCTATGAGTGCTTCCCGCACACCCTGCAGCCTCCAGGCTCTGGGCTCAGCTCCAGCATTTTCTGTGCCTGGAATCTCCGTTTCCCCTTACTAGAGCTCAGCCTCCTTAAGAAAACCTTCCCTGAATCACCTGATAGATAGGATCCCCATTGTAAACCTGTGCCCTACCCCCACCTGTGTTGCAGCCCACTGAGTTTCACATGACTGAGTTCCGCCAGCAAAGCCTCCCTCCTCTCTGTCCTTTACCCAGCCCAGCCCTCATCTAACATAGTGTTCTTTCACTCACACGGCCACCCTCCCTTCTCTACCAAGTTTACGTGAGAAGAATTGAGTTATCCTGATTCCATCAACTCCCAGTCTGGAACTCACACTGGGATTTAAACTGGACTCACAGAGTTTACGGAAGTGGCAGTAATGGCAACAGGCAATTGTTGAGAATGTTAAATGTCCTTTAGAATGAAGACTTGTCCCACCAAAATATCAATATTGTTCTTAACAAGAAATTCTGACATAAAATCGAATATTGATCTAATGAAAACTTGTGAAAAACTTTATTGAGGAAAAGCAATGGGGAGGTGTAGATGCATGTGTGTATTTATGTAGATGGGGGATGGAGTTTAACAGTGAGGCTGCTTGAGGTGGCAATACCATTTGAGACCAAACAGAGGCAGGCCAAAAACTTAAAAAGAAAATCCAGAAAATGAGATAGATGTATATAAGGAGCTTGAAAAGCTCTGACATAGTCTTTGGAATATAGAAGGCCACATGCATGTGCATATGCTCACAAAAAGACTTGAAAATACCATAATCTCTCACATTGGCTCACTCTGAGGCTCTGAGTAAGCAGGAAATGAAGGCTAAGGCAGAGTTTTAAGCTGTTTGCCAGGGCATTGAAAGCATGTCCCAAAACACAGTGAGCCCTTCTGCAAAGGCTGGGAGACTCATGGGTTTAAGGCATTTAAAGAAATCTCTATCAAATCATTAGCTGGCCACTCAACTAACTGAGCAGAGACTTCAATTGCCATACATAATGAGTATAGACATTACAGGAAATTTACTAAACATACAACAACAACAAACATTAGCGACTACACATCCTAGGGAGGGGAGAGAATCTGATTTTCATAGTTGCCATGTTATATAATTTAAAATGTACAGTTTTCAATAAAAAATATGAGACATACATATAAACTAGATAATAAGATCTATACACAGGCATAAAACAGTCAATAAAGACTGTCCCTAAAGAAGCCCAGATGTTAGATTTGCTAAACAAAGATTTTAAATAAGCTATCATGAATATGTTCTAAGATTTAAAGGGAATCATGTCTAAAGAATTAAAGGAAAGTATGAGAATGATGTTTCATCAAATAGAGAATCTCAATAAAGAGATAAAAATTATGAAAAAGAACCAAATAGAAATTCTAGAGTTATAAAGTACAATAACTGAAATGAAAGATTTAGTAGAGAGAGTCAACAACAGATTCGAACTGGTAAAAGTAAAAAGAAAGGTCAATTGCAATTATCTAGTCAGAAGAACAGAAAAAAAATGAATGAAGAAAAATAAACAGTCTCAGAAAACCTGTGCGACACTGTCAAGTGGACTGACATATGCAAAATGAGAGTCCCAGAAGGAGAGGAGTGAGAAAGAAAATCTAAAGAAAAAAGTGGTGAAAAACTTTCCAAATTTGATGAAAAAAAAAATCTGTACATCCAAGAAATTCAATGAACTCCAAGAGGGATAAAATCAAACATATATATTTGGATACATCATAGTCAAATTATCAAATCCAAAGTTAAAGAAATCTTGAACACAGCAAGAAAAAGGTGACTTATCATGTGAAAGGAATCCTCAATAAAATTATCATCTGACTTCTCATCAGAAATTACAGTGACAAACAGGCAGTGGATAATGTGTTCAAAGTACTGAAAGAAAAAGACTTTTAACCAAAAATTCTGTATCTAGCAAAACCATTCTTCAAAAATGTAGGAGAAATTAATAGTAGATAAACAAAAATTCACTACTAACAGCCATACAATAAATACTACAATAAATAATAAAAAAGAATTATTCAGGCTGAAATTAAAGGACACTAGTCAGTAACTCAAATCTGCATGAAGAAATAAAGTACACCAGTAAAGTTAACTGGATAGGTATATATAAAAGACAGTATAAACACAAATGTAAAAGATAGCATAAAAGAATAATTATAAATCTGTATTGATGAGCACACAATGTATAAAGATATGACTAGTATGACAAAAATAGCAAAAAGAGGGAGGGAGAGAATGGAGCAAAGCTTTTGTCTACTATTGTATACTCTAAAAATCGAGTAAAAGAATTGATATGAAATTTAAATGGTTCAATAAAAATATTTAACAAAAAAAGGCATAATGGAGAAATAGAGGAACAAAAAAGACATAAGACATATAGCAAACACATAGAAAAATGGTAGATATAAGTCCTACCTTTAGTATAACATTAAATGTAAGTGGATTAAACATTTGTATTAAAAGGCAGATATTGATAGAACAGATTTTAAAAAGGTAGATCCAAATATATGCTACTTACAAGAGACACACTTTAGATTCAAAAATACAAATAGGTTGAAAGCAAAAGAATAGAAAGAGATATGTCATGGAGAGTAACAAAATAG